AAAAAAAATTAACGCTTGTACTATTGGATTTCAACGCTAACATTTATCTCCTTGCTAATGAATTACAGATTGTTTAATTGGGTTATTGAAACGCGCTCAAACAAAGCCCGCTGTAAACAAAACTATCTTGTTATGTTTCTCTTGTAGTGGTGAAACCGTTTATAACTTGTTTTATCTTTGTAAATTATACAGGTACGACGACCGAGTGACTACTTATCATGACTGCCTGATTTGAACCAGAGTTTCTTACTGGTCGCTCTGAGATGGAGGCAAGCATGCACCTGCACAGATTTCGTCGGCGATATCGCTAATTCATCCGGCACATCACTCACCGCGGCACCAAAAACGCGGATAGAAATGGATAATTCGTGTTGATACTGTATGAGCGCTCAATTATTGTTTGCTAGTTTTAATATATTATTATTTTACGTATTTTGTTTTAGAAAATTGCTGACCAGAATTCTATGACTGCTCAATTTAATTTAGAAGGATCTACTATTGCATCCCACATTGTTGGCTCTGCTAAGTTTGCCTCTGACTTCAACATGGATTAAACGGCTGACTACATTGACATGGACTCCAACGCGACGATCGACTTCATAGGTGCCAACCATGTCGACGTCGTTAAAGATAAAAACATATTTCTGTTTTAGTGTCTACTTTATTTATTTTAACATGATCTAATATTTATTTGCTTTTGTGAAGTATTAACGAAAAATACTTCTACGGCTTCGGTTTTCTCTGTGCATCCGTCATCGGGGAGAAGCTGCCACCGATGATTATCTTCACTATGCTACCGTTGAGGAGAAAGTGCAACAAAATCCGTTGCATCGTCACCAAGCAATTCTGACAGTTCAGAAAAAAGCTTATCGCTCATGCTTTATTGGATTGACAAGGTGAGTTGCAATTTTTTTCCTGCTGCTTAAGTTCTAATAATGTATTGTAACTTTTTAATCTAGGTTTGGAAGCCCACAGTATATGGCACTCAATTTCTTCTTTTAGACAACCGAAAAACTCGCAAGATGGACTTTGTGAGACAAAAGTTAGAAGAAGTATGCAGTACCGAAGTCGAGTCCATCCCGCCTGGAATCACAGGCGTGGCGCAACCTATGGACGTTTCTGTCAAGCGAGTGTTTAAGAAGCGATGCCGTGAGCTTTATGTAGCTCGCCACATCGACAATAGCTTCTCCCCCAACCCAGCTGCCCGACGCGACACCATCACCCGTATCGTTGTTCAAGCTTGGGATGAAGTTTCCGTTCAAAATCATACAGAGGTTTTTTCGTGCAGGTATTGTTCTTTTTGGTCCACGGGAGAACAATGGTCGTTTTCGAGTAGCTAAACTTGCTCAATAATCTTTTTTTTTTCAGCCGTCCGTCAGTATTTTACTAAAATCAAACGTTTTGCAATTATAAGATAGATGTCGGTTGGAAGAAGGGATATAAATTTAATGAATTCGTCGTCTTTTGAACTTTTTACGCATTGTTGCATGAAATATTATTGTTTCAAGAAATATGTTAATTCCGGTACTCCCTTTAAATCGGTCATGTGCAACTCTGAGCTCAAGACCGATTCACCCGCGCAACGACTTGCTCTTCGGTGAGATATCAATAGGCCATCCACGTACACCGAAATGTAGCATGGTGCATTGGAAATTACTTTAAAGAACACGTAACGGTCCTTGACTAGCCGGCAAAAACCAACACGTTCGAGGTATTGTGCAAAGGTGAAGTACCAGACATTAGGTGGCGGTAAAGGCCCTCACCAAGGAGGCAAACCAGATCAGGGTTCTCTTGCGACTGGAATATCTCAGGCGGTTCCTAGAAGATTTATTCATCAAGATATCCATTTGGAGAAAGCCGTTTTCGCATCCATTTGTTCACCTCGTAGTCAAGGATTGCTGCAAGAGTGAGAAGCAATCGAAGGAGTTTCATTCGCACGACTGGCGAGAAAATCTCTGTGCAGTAGATGCCGTAGTTCTGCTGGGAACCTTTGTTAACCAAGCGAGCTTTCTCGATCCCTTCCCAGATTGCCATGTCTGGCTTCCACGAGCTGGGCGCGGCGTGGCACAGTTACAGCAACTTCTGTTCTTCCGTCATCTCTATGCTAGTAACTTTGGCAGTATGCTTCAGTGCGTGCTCGAACTCATAAAAGAAAGCCAAGAGTTCAGTGCCTCCTCATACTTGACGGCTATGAAGTAGTGGTTGATGTAGTAAGGTCCCATGAGCCGTCGACCCTTCGTAACGATCGCGCAGTTTCTGGTTGATCGCGTAGGCCGACGTGCACCCCTCACCGAGGGGCACATGCGCATTATCAATCATGGAGATTAAGAACGACCTTGTCTTGCGCTCCAGACGGCGTCTTTCACTCGAGCTCGGCTTGCGAGCATCACGTTCCTTGGCAGCTCCGAGCTTAGCTCGAGCCCTTTTCGCCTGTGCGCGGAGCAATGTTCGGCGTATTTCCCTCTCCCGTTTAGTATCAGTGAAGCAATTTATCACAGGAGTTAGAGGTCGCCTTTGTCTGGCGAGAGGCTTAGGCACTGTCGGGCTTCGGATCGGACGAGATGCCGGAGGACAAGTCCGAGGGCTCCTCGGAGGACGACGCAACGGCCCTTGGTCCAGCAGCATCGTCGTAGTCACCACGGGCGGTTGTGCTCAGTGTCGGAGTCCATCAGAGCTTTATACGGCGTGGGTGATTGGGTGGCAGAGAGTTGGCTTCGTCCATGTCCGAGGAGGCCGGGTCGGAGTCTCCATCGTAGTCCTCTTGGCCGATGAAGCCTAGCAGGCCTTGACTGTCGAGAGCGGCACGGACACTGGCATTCTAGTCTGTGGAGTTGCATCCGTTCAAGCGCGGGAAGTCTTCACCGGTTTCTCCCCAACGTTGGGCTCATAACCTGTCGGGGCATTTTGGGCGCGTCGACGGAAGTGGAGGTAGAATACAGGAGAAGAAGATCTTGGGAAGGTAGGAAATGTGAAGTGAGTGGCATTGAGTTTTGAGAGAGACGAGAGATAGCGCGGAGCAGAGGTGCTGCTACGCGGAGGCTGCAGAGCCAACCATCTAGAATCCTGTTAAATATGGTACGTACAGACTCGCCCAGGGCTCCTAAAAATGGCATCTATCGCATGTCTTTTTTCAAGTCTTCCATACGTTACGCATCAACAACAAAAGAAGCCTTCTATACGTTATGGCTATTAATGTAATTAATGGCGAGCTGATCTCTCTTCTAATCGATGCACTGGTGAACGGTCTGGGCATCCAAGTAGTCCTCATTAATCCTAAGAAAAAAGATCGTTTCCAGTGAAATGGGTAGCAAAGAGTGCCTGTCAATACCGTAGATCGCCTGTGCAACACTGAATAAGCGTTCAGCAACATTGGAAGTTGGTGGAATGTTCAGTACAAGGTTGTACGAGTTCTTTTCGGACTTTTGGCGAGCCTTTTTC